CTTTACGAATGATAGGAAAACGACAATTTTTATGTGATAATAAAAATGGAAAACCAATATTATTATATGAAAAAATGGTTGATGTTTTTAAAAAAATCATATTGAAATTGCTCATGGTGGTCGAGATAAATGTCTTGAAGACTTAGCAGTAAATTATATTTGGTATAATAGAGAATTATTATAAATCTTTTTTTGAAAAAACTGCTCTGCTTGTGACAAAAGAAAGTCAATAGCAAAACCACTAATAGTATTAAATAATGGGTACTACATATATATTTATTGTTTATAAAAAAATAAGACAACACACTATTATATTAGATTCTTCATTATACTGTGATGTTTAATTTCCTATATCATCTAGTAATATCCAAATATTGTATAACGCTTTTCTTTATATCTCCAAGTTGTACATAACACAAGAAGGTTTTATTGGATCGTATGTTGGATCTTCTATAATCGTTCAAAATCAAACGAAATTTATACAAAAACATTCTGTCTGAAATCTTGCACAAAGACATACTTTAAAATTGTTTAAAGATTTTACTATCGGATAGGATATTACTATTAAATAAGAAACCATATTATATAATAGATATCATCTTTGAAGAATCCTTTAGTATGAGTTAGTGTTAGGTTTCAGATACAACTTTTTTTGCAAATGATTTTACAAGATTTTATGTTTCATATTTCGATCTCAGATATGACTTGAACTATTTCTATTGCTAAATCCTCAAAATTGTAATAAATGTATAGTAAAACTTTCATACACTTATCCTTCTATGCAAAGAAAAAAATAATAATCATAAAAAAAATTTCTGCTAGATTTATTCTTACTGTATTATTATATTAGATTTCCTATTAAATATTTCATCATATTTCATCATTTATATTAATATTGATATGAATTAGAATTCATGACTGGAGTCCAAATGGACCTTATCGATATACGAACTCGACCTGACGTCAGTTCGCATGGAAAAACTTATAAATGGATATTGCAATTGAAAGACCATTTCACAAAGTACAACTGGGCTAAACCATTAGAAAACAAAGAGGCATGAGAATTTTATCAATCTATACGTGATATATTTTTTATGTTCGGTCCACCAAAGATCTTACAATCTGACAAATGGTCGAGAATTTGCAAATGAATTGATAAATAATCTTCAATCAGACTTTCCAGGTTATAATAAAGCTATTGCCTATGACATTTTATGCTTTTAAATTTATAAGAAAAAAAAAAGTTATTTAATTTCTCTTTTGTTTTCAATTTGCGTTTATTAGTTACAAAAGATTTTTCATACTCATTATATAATATCTTCTTTTATTATAAAGGCATGAAAATCGTTCATGGGAGATCACGGTATGCTCAATCACAAGGATTGATAGAATGTGCAAATGCTATTCTAACAGATGCATTAAGTATTTTAAAATTTTTATGTTGAAAATTCATAAAATAAATAACCTATAACTGTCTTTAAAAAATTACTCTTTACATTGTTTTAAATTTAATATACATTAACTGTATTCTAAAGAAAAATGAATGGAAGATCATTTAACTCATCCTTGGGCTGCAAGTCTTCCATCGGTTATATTTTTTATTAATACACGGACAACACGTACAACAAAAAAAGCATCTGATCAATTAGTCTTTGGACAAGGTCCACGAACTAACAATCATTATTGGGAATCTCTTCATGGTGCAGCTTTAACTGATGAATCATCAGTTGATGATTTCATTGTTGATAAAATTACACCATCTAATAAAAGCATAATTTGTGAACAATTACATTCAGCATTTATATCAAAAAATTCAAATATTCAATCAGATTGACTACAAATAACAAATTTTATCTAATATTACTCTTTTCTAACTTATTAATCATTAACAGGAATTTCTTCAAATTTAAACAATGAAACAAACAGTACGTTGGAAAAATTAAAAAGTCCTTTATCTTCTTCAAAACTCACAACTATCAATATTAGGTTGCAACATTAGTGATTTAATATTATAGTAAAATAAATAGATTATATTTCTGTCTGTGTAGTCGCCACGAATTATTTCATGCTTCTGCACGTATTACTTATTTTAAATCTCAACATAAACGACGAAAATTATATGATGAACATGTACAAAAAATTGCAGACTCGTTCAAAAACGGTAATCATGTTGGTATCTCAATTAATGAAATCGATCGTACAAATTGTGATCCTAAAATTATGTCATGTATCATTGAAAAATGTTTCAACAATACAGACATTCCAACATATCAGCTTATCAGTTCTGTTGAACGATTATCAACATTATTTCCTGTATATCACAATCAAACTCATCGTCAGACAGCTTGCCTATCGTATCTCAAATACCAGCACAAACAATATCAAGCAATAGCATAAATTAATTTTCAGTATTATCTCATTCTGTAAGATTAAACTAAATCTGTTATCTACGGAATATAATGATAGATTGACAAAAGAAGTATAGATACCTAAAAGCTCAAGTAATACAAATTAGAATTTCTAAATAACAATCAAAAACGTTTTCAAAGGCTTGATTTATGAAATCTTTAAATATTAAACATTGTTTTTTTAACACAAAATAAAAAGAAGTGAGTCTTGGACTGGTGTAGTAGCTAAACTGATATGAACAGGAAGGTTACTCCTTGTTTCTGAAACCCTAAGAGTTGGTCCTTCCTGTTGCAAAAACCTCACTAAGTCTCTACAGAAAAATATTAAATATATAAAATAAAAATAATAGTTTTATCTTCTAGCTTACTCAACGAGATAGATATGTACGTCGTAATATAATTATACGACAAAGAACAACTATTAATAGTAGGTTCCTTTAACTATCTACTCATCGATTAACTTACTGTGTACTTTCTTTAAAGATTCACCTGAACAATATTCTGATATAGCCGATAAAAGTGATATTATTACAGTAAATCAAATTCTATAATCAAAACATAGTTTACGCGCTCTTCTCTTATTTAAAAACAAAACATATACTCATCACATGCTTTTCTTTTTGGTTGGGATGCATAATAATCCTTAATGAGAATAAAGCAAAAACAAATTAAAGTGTCAAAGCATAGTTTATAGACTCTTTTATTATTTAAAAACAAAACGAAAACAACCCATGATTGATATGTTTTTTCTTTTCTTTTGTTTTTGGTCGGAATGCATAATAATCCTTAATAAGAATAAAACAAAAACAAATTAAACTATCGAACCGTACTAGATACACTTTTGTCTTATTTAATGACAAAACATGATTGATATGTTTTTTTTTTCTTTTCTTTTTTGTTGATCGGGATGCACAATAATCTATAATGACAGTAAAATAAAAACAAACTAAACTATCAAAGCGTAGTTTATGCACTGTTTTCTTATTTAAGGGGGAATCTGCCTCCGAAAATCGGTTTTTCTTCGAAAACTCGATTTTTGAAAAAGCACATATTCTAGTAGTCCTGAGTGTCCTCTTTCAGAATATGTACAAATTACATAAGAATGGAACATACTTTGCCAAATTCAGGGACGTCTATTGGAAATCATAGTGGAAAATCGACTGTTGTGTTGATTTTTTTTCCCCTTAGTTATCGGTAATTAATATCGTTCCATCTTCTTTATCAGCAGTATAAAACTATCAACGTATCAAGTGATCATGTTCTGACTGTTGCAATCACAGAAGGAAACTTCAAAATTAGGTGATTTTTCGTAAAGGTGGCGCCACAGTAAACTTGGATTTAGAAGTTAGCTTGACTTTTTCTTAAAGACATCATCAACTGCAAGAGCTTTTTACACACTTTTCAATGATATATAACATTCTCTAATTTCCTATACAGGAACATCATCAATTACTTCACGATGTTATTATTCATTTTTCTCGGCTTCACTTTTTTATTGTTTACTGATCACTGCCGAACATTTTCCCAGTCCACTGTTTGACGTACACTGCTAATATTTTTTTATTGAAAAGATGAAACTTTTTTCTAGAAATTGTTGGAACAGATTTCTAAAATATATCTCCGTTGTTCAAATATTTGAAAATCGTTGAAAGAGATCACAGCGGTTTTTTCGATTTTCGGTTTGGAATGATCACTCCCTAGAGAATATACTGAGTTAAGGATACTCGAAAAAGTATCCTGTTGCCAGTATGTCACAGGAACTTTTGGGTATCAAAGTACTTATAGGTACTTTCAAGTACCTAAGTGGTACTTTGGCAGGTACCCTGCTACAAAATGTATAGTAACTGGTTACTTGAAGATACTGATCGGATACTCAATTGGGTACTATTGTAGAGTATTTCTAGATACCCTGCTACCAAAATTTCAGTATGTTCAGGATCGAACCTGACCTTTCACTTTTTGCATTTTTTTTTCTCTCAAAGTGATTCATTACTTTTTTTCGATTTTATTATATTTAATTTTTTCAATTTCGAAAACTCAACAGGTCAAATGTCGAGATCTGACCGAACTTGAGTTGGTCGAGTATCCATGAGACCACATCAGGATAGTCCGCTCTTAATCTACGATCAAGATGAGAAAGTTCTCGAGTAAGAAATAGTCAAGAAATAATCTAGAAAAAATTAGTATGAAAAAAGATTAATTGCTTCTGTTTTGCTCAGTTGTTTATACGAAGCCGTGTGGGAAAAAGAAAACGGTGAATGAAGAGTCGCCACGCAGAACGCGACAAATGTAGGGTACCCTGCAGAGTTTTTCTCAGTAAAATTACAGATGCGGGTATCTATACCAGTACTTGCTCAGTGAGCGTACTTTTATGGGTACCCCTTGCACTATCTACATCAGTATAATTACTGAGAATTTTCGTAGTACATATATTAGGTACCCTGCTAAGGCTTTCTCAGTACATGGGTACCCTGAACTCAGTACTTTCTCTAGGGCTACTAATGAACAAAGATGAACTTCAAAAAACTGTTCCAACAATTTCTAGATAAAAGATTTTTCTTCATTTTGAAACAACGTTCAACATTTTCCATGCTATCATGTCTCGAGAAAATGTTCCGTGCCAAAAGCTCCATTTTCATGAGTAAATTGAGTATAACTCCTCAATTATCAAAAATGATCGGTTCACATTTTTATCAGATGCTAATTACATTAGCTTTTCTATTTCCTGAAGTTTTAATGGAAATATCTTGAACCGTTTAGAAGATAAGTTTCGGAGTGGGCAAGGGGGAGTTCCCTCTTGACAACAAAACATATGATTGATATGTGATTCTGGAATATATAATATGATTTGAAAATATTTATTTAAAGATAATAAATTACTGGGGTCTGATTCGTCCTATAATTCCTGTAAAAACCTATATTTTTGAGAAAGCCCTTTATTTTATCCTATATTTAAATCACTTTTTCTATTGTACCTATATGTTATTGAAGAAAGGCAAAGAAATGTTCGAAATCTGCGAATTCTATTGCACAGAGTATTCTTTTTTTCGACAGGACAGATATCTTAAAATCTAGTCAAATGTTTTCGACAATCGTACGTATTATGAGAACATCTTTCTTAAATAGACCGCGTTTCTTTGCATCCAGTGAGTGCATTAAATGAAAAACTCTTTAATGCCATGAATACTTACTAGGTATATAGTGGGTCTAAGGATAGCACGTGTTTCTGTGGCACCCTCAGCAAGAGAAATGAGTTGTGTCTGCATCCTCTGTATCCGTGTTTTCGTGGCATCCGCAGCGAGAGAGATGCATTGCGGGCATCTTTTTCTGGCACTATAAACGAGAGACTGCTTGTCCGAGTCTTTCCATGTCATCCTCAGATAGAGACACGCCCTGTGTGTGTCTTTCTATGGGACCCACACCCACAAGATATAGAAGATTTACCTGCGACGTCACTATGTGCTAACTACCTCTTATGTCTCTACATCTTGTATACCTGCTATATGGCCATATCCGCATTATCTCCAATAGCTCTACTACGTCTAAGAAAAAGCCATTAATACAAGATATGGGATGATTCTGGAAAATCATTTCGGTTTCCTGGAAACTCAAAAAGGGCATCATATGATTCGAAAAGAGGTGTATAAAATATCTTTAGACCCTCTAGACCCACCCTCTTTATAAAAAGGCACCTATTATGTCCTTAGACCCTAGACGCACCATAGTTATAAAAAAGTATCTATTATATCCTTAAACGCACTATATCTCCTAGACCCACCATGGTTATCAAAAGGTACCTATTATATTCTTAGACCCCCTAGAGCCACCATGGTTATAAAAAAAGTACCTATAAATCGTTAGACCTTCTATACCCCCATTTCAGATAAAAATGAAGCTTCTTTTTTTTCTTTTGAATTTAAAAAGAATTCAAATAGATCATTGTGTGTTTTCTTTATGAACAATCAATCAACAAGAAGCTGAAATCCATCCAACAGAATTAACATAATATAACGGACTTGGTAGATAATACTTAATGATTATTATTCAAGTGTTTTTGTCTATTTATAATCGAGTTTTATTTATACAAGTCAAATTTAATTACAAGAAATAGTATTTTTTTCCATGTATTTATTTTTTCAAACTTTGTGATCTACCTTATTGTTATATATTGATTTGTGAAAAAGTTTTATAATTAAACTTTATAATGATCCTCGAATTAGCGACTTATTTTAGTAGAAAGAAATCATATAAAAATCTTGATTATGGTTGAGCTGTTTAAAACAGCTTCACTAAAACGATACTCGAGTAGAGAAGTTAAAAAACACCAAAAAAAATGAACAGAAACGATCTATAAAAAGCCCTATATTCTTGTCATTTTTCATCGAAAATCCTATATTTTACACAAACTTGATCCTCTAAGGATTCCTATATTTTAAAAAACTCGCAATCGGAGGCCAGCTCATAATGTGCATCTAGGTGGACATTTGGCTAAAAGTGAAAATCGCACTTTCTCAAGATTTTAATATGGTGAAATATAGTTCGAAATATGGCCTATCTAATGGTATAAATAACTTTGTTAGAACACTCAAAGTAACTGAACAACTAATTGCCTAAAATTAGCCTAAAAATCGTGATGTCACCGGAAAAATTGATATCTGGCAAAATTAAACTGTTCAACAGATAAATCAAGTACATTTCCTGAATCTTCAAGCCCAGTTCTATACAATGATAAAAAAAATACTTTTTAATTTGTACGTTTAACTTCTGAGAAAAAAAATAATATTCTATTCTATAGTGTCGTCTGGAGGGCTAGTCCAATAAAATGAGCAATCCACTCACATCCAAGCTTCAAACTTCTTCAAAATTTGCCAGCATGTCCTTCTATCTATTGTCTGTAATTCCTGTTAGCGCAAACACTCCTAGACTGTACAGTGAGTTTCGAAAAAACCTAGGTTTTTCCAGTATGTTTCAGTCTTTTCTAGCTTTGAAAAAACATTTAATCGACAGAAATAATATATTCGAAATCAGCGCATTAAACTGCGTCGAATGATATATAAGATAAAACAATTTTGAAAAATAAAATTTTCTCGAAAAAAATGACGGCAAGGATTCCCCACAGGCATTTTGCATCAAAGAACTTTTTTTCTCAACAAATGTTTTCTTCTCTTAGAAATGCTTTGGTGCATCATATCCAATACTAGTTCTTCTATGAAATCAAATAAACATATTCAATTTCATACTATCAAAGTATGTCTTGAAGAAAATAAATTTCTTTATTATAGAATGTATTTTCAATATTATTTGTTTCTGCAATGTTTTCAGTTCATTGGAAAAATAAATAGACAAATCAATTAATATATCACAATTCAAAAAAAATAACTATTACTTTTCTTGAGATTCTATCAGATAGTTCTATAATATCTTTTCATATAAAAAAAAACATACATCTAATTACAAATGTCCTACACATGTTTTTATTTAATACCAAAACAAAAAAACAAACAGGTTATTTGATATTTTGTAACCGTCTGTGTCTAAATTTTGGATTAATAAATATTCTTGCTTGATTTTTTCTCGCATACATAAATGAAATGGAACATGTTCACATATACCATGTGCACCAGAATAATAGCAATTTTTAGTTGAATCCATTTTATATAATCCAGCACCACCAAACGCTGAACGAACTTCTAAAAGATCTCGTTCAATTGGAAATGGTTTTTGATGAATATTAAGTATGTTTTTTAGTAACGAATCATTACAGTAACTACCAGTAGATCTCATTGACCATATTCGATGCCACACATCATAATTAAGTATTGTTTCTGATAAAGTTCTTAATGCCCAAATATCATAATATTGTCCAATTGCATTAGCTGTCATAACAGACCAATCATTAGTATCATACTCAAAATTAGAAAGAAATGAATTTACATTGTTACCGATTATATCTATATCAAGAACAAGCATATAATCTGATTTTAGTTGACGAGCTTTTTCTAATAATTCATTTCGACAAAATGCAATACGTTCTGTACGTTTTGGAATAGATTTTGATAAATTCCCATATGTATAAATTTGAGCACGAGACCATTGATGAAGTTTTATTAATGTATTATCTCTTGAATCACTTTCACCGATGAGAATCTGTGATGATGGATGAAATAAATCAATTATTGATTCAATATAGTTTCGACATTTATCGACAACTTTTTCAGCATTACTTGCACATACAACTATAGTTAATCGAAGTGATCGAAGTCGATGATGAAGATTTTTACGTTTTGAATTTGATATACGTCGAGGTAGATTTAATTGAGGAGGTTCACGATCAAAAAATGGTCGAGTATCAGATACATTAAATGGTCGACATTTTGAATGTTTAGGTCTTACAAATATTGGTTTTATTGATGACAAAGATGAATATGATGATTGATTAAGAGAATTTTTTGATAATAGTTCAATTTGTGATGATGATAGAAATTTGAGAAAACGTATAGAAAATATAAGGAAAATAGATGGTAAGAGAAATAAAAGATAACGGTTATATAGTGCGCGAGACTTCATGATTGTGTTGGCATGTGAATGAATAATCTACAATAGACGATATATGAAAGAATATAACTAACGAGAATATAAGAAAAAAAAAAGTTCGAAAGTATATTGATAAAAGTGAAGTGATTGATAAGTTCTGTTTTCCTTATCTTTTCAATGAATGACAAAAAGGTGTGTATATTTTCAATTTTAATCAAAGTCTAGATCATGTTATTCAGGTTGTTATTTTAGAAGTTTATTCTTTTTCTCTATAATTGAATCTAATTTAGATAAATTAGATTATCTCATATGAAGAATAATCAATCTTTCGAAATAAATATATTATTGAAATACTTTGTACAACTATATATATTCATTTTATTTTTAAAGAAAATATATTTTTGATAAGTATCAAAAACTGATAAATACAAAATAAAATTTTTATTTATTTAAGTAACTAAAAATTCAGAATTCATAAATAGTCTTTCTAGGTTTTTTCCTTGTATACATAAATGAAATAGTACATACTCGCTCCGAGATAACAAGCTCCTATTGATTTTATATCCATTGTTCTGTTTCTTTGAGACAACCTTTACTTGAAAAACAAATTCTAATAGAATTCAATAATAATACCTATTGTATATATGAGAAAAACTATTGAAAATAATACAAAAACTAAAAACAAAAGAGCAATAGGAAATTTCTAATAAGATATGATTTAATTTAAAAAATATAACGTTTATTTCTTTATCTGCATTTCACATATTTGTTATTGATGATATATGCATTTTACATGATGCTATATCCAATATTTTATAGCCAAGTTTGACATTGAATAATATATGACTAAATGTGTGCGGGACCAATTTATTTTTTTAGACTCCGTCAGATGAATCTATTTTATTGTAGTATGATCCTAGTCTTTATTCTTATCTAGAAAAAACTATTTCAATGTTTATTCACATCATATCTTAAAATTCTTTAAATACAAGACCTTTGATCAAATCATTCGATAAATGTTACCTTTTTTTCGTCTTCTCTCCAGTAGCGTCAAACTTGAAAGTTGAATTGAAGTAATCAACTATCAGTTCGACTATTCAGGTATTCAACTATTCAACTATTCAGGTATTCACCTATTCAGCTATTCACCTATTCATGTATTCAACTATTCAACTATGTAATTATTCAACTATGCAATTATTCAACTATTCAAATATACAACTATACAACTATTCAACTACACAACTATTCAACTAATCAACTATTCACGTACTCAATTAGTCAACTCCTGGAATGCCACCAGAATCACCTAACACCAACAGGTATTGTCTTGAATGCTTGTAGCATTCCCTAGAATGCTATGAACATCACCTAAAATGCTATAGGCATCACCTAGGATGCTAAAAGCGCCATCTATGATACTAAAAGTATTACCCAGGATGCTACAAGCATTCTTTAGGATACTACAGGTTTTGGTTGAGATGCTTCAGACATTATCTTGCATGCGACAAGAAGTATGTGAGAAGTTTGAGCTTCTGTGCAGCACTGAGTAGGAATAATGGTATACACAGAGACGTGCATGGACCACGACTCTTCAGGGTAGGTTGCGAAGTGCTTCCACGCCATAATGCTGAAATAAAAGGAGTGTTAGGTGGGGAAACGCGCTTCTCCACTGAATATCCGCAGAATACTTGAGAAGTTAAAATTTGAATAGTTGAATACTTGAATTCAAGTTTCAAGTATTACATATATGCTTCTTTCCTAAGCTGGTTTTCATATGTATAATTTATAGGATGATGCAAACAAAACAACTGAACATTGAACTAGAATCTTTAGTCATGATCTCCGTTCGGCCTCAGTAAATCTTCAAATTTCGATCTCGTACATCTTTGTATACGACTAATGCTTAGAAAACTTTATGCTTATATGAATAAAATTAAAACACAAATCATAGAAATTAAATTAATTTGAAATTTCAAATAGATTTTCTTTAAAATGTAACGCGGACAAATTCAGTAATCCCAACATGATAATCATTGATAGAAATAAGCCATTTCAGCAAGTGTCTTCATACAGAAAGCTACATAATATATCAAATGAATAATATGAAGAATTTACCAAAGGCATTTTTTCAAATTTACTAGATTTGTGAAAGAAAAGAAAAGAAAAAAAAACTCTTTTCGTGTAGTAGAGAGTAATCCATCGGTAGCTTTTGTCAATCGCAATCTTTCATAGTTATAGATTTTGCTACGATCTTCTTAGAAAAACGATTAAATTTTTTGAAAATTATATACCTATTTAAAATAAAACCGCCATTTATGTACGAGAACACTTTTTAATGCAGCTCGAAGCACAGCATTTATGATTATACAAATATGTATTGCACAAGTAAAAAAAAACAAATGGATCAGTGAAAAACTAATGAATTTGTCCATAAATATTACACGAATAAAGTTTGCATTAATCCGCGGGTTAGTAATTCTTCAACCCGTCACAGATGGACAAGGATCAAAACAAAAATCATTGGACCTGTGAAGCGGGCTGGGTTCGATTCTCAACGGATCGAGTCAAATAAAAGCAGCGACCAATATCTCGGTTACATACAGTGGGTGTTCTTCTACTTGTTATTGACATTTGTACATTTCAAAAAATGGTGATAGCTAATGCATTGGATAACTTTTATATTGAAAAAATACTAGAACAATACTATATAATAGCTACCCCCACTCACCGCATAATAGAAATTTCCTGCAAGTAAAATAATAGTTGCTCTTTCAAATTTTTTCTCTGAAAAATTACAATTCTATTCAAAAAAAAAATCAAATGCATATAAATTGTCCAGTCAAAAACTAGAACGCACACTTTACTGAAAGGTCCTTAAATCAAATGAATCTATGAATTAAAAGCACTATTAATGTCTCTCATAAAGTGATTTTAAAAAAAAAAGACTTTTTCAATGAGATTATTATATGACAATTTGATATACATTGAAAGTTGACTTTTTAAATCATCAAACTTGAATATAAATTTCATTATGAAAGAGCTTTCTTTTTTTTTTTTGTTCATAATAATGGTATTGATAATTTTATAATGAATAGAAAAATAAAATAAGATAATAGTAAAAAAACAAAAGATGCGATTAAAACAATCTTCAAATAAAGTTTTATGATTTAAATGTGTAATTGAAAAGAGATATACAAATTGAAAATGAACATGAAAACAAAGATCAATTTTTCTTTTCGGTTAAACACAAATGATGTTTGTATCTACATCAATATCTACAAGCAATTCAGTTTAATTTATATTAATTGTTAATTAACATTTACTTTTAAAAAAACCAAGATTAATGAACAATCATTATACACATTTTCAAATTGATATCTCTAATCTCATCAACATGGTTCTTTTGTTTTTTTTTTTGGTAAAGTCATTAAATAGTATTGCTAATATTTCCTTTTTCTAGTATAATATCATAGATAAGTCTAATTAACTTCTTTTTTTTTTTTTTACAAATCTGAAAATTCATATAGATAGTCATTTCTTTTTCTACTTGATCTCTTGTCCGACATATCATTCTAATAGGAAATAAACGAATAGTATCCATCGATTGAAACTAGTGCAATTGATCTATTTGTGTGTATGTCTTTATCATGCAAAAAGATAGATTGACATCTCTATGGTATGCATATATATATATCTATATTGAACTTTGAAGAAATATTTCCCAATGAGAAAGCAATATAACGCTGACTTTTGAACTCGTTTTTTTTTTTGTTTTGTTCTCGGTAGATAACATGATAGATAACAATACAATAAAAAAATCGTCAGGAGATACCGCCATTGATGAACAAACTCTTTCACAATATAATATAACTAGATAAGATAAATATTTTTTCTTTTCTTAATTTTATCGATTGAGTTGTCATTGAAATAGATTGACATAATAAATAATATACCAACTAAAGATATATGTGTATATAGAAAAGAATGTTGTTGTTTTTATTCTTTTCGTTTATCTTGATTGACAATAAGCAAAATGATTCGTTTATTTAGTGTATATGTGTATGTTGACAAAAATTAACATTAAAGTCAAGTATGATATTTACACGACGTGATTCAATTGTAAAAGATTTATACTGGTCAACTAAACAACATAAATTCTTTTCTTTGTCTTTTCTTCTTATATCGATTTATCAAAAATAAAAAATCAGTATGACAAAAGACAGCCTAAGGGCTCATCTTTTTCTTCTTCTTCTTCTTCTTCTTCTTCATTTGTTCATCCATATAGAGATGATAGTTCGAAACATACTGGATTAATAATAAAAGTCATTCCTTTCTTTCACGTACGTGTGTATATATAAATATAAGTAGATATACATGAGTCGCCATTATTCTTCTGATGAATTATAGTCTTATTGCATGAAGAGGGAATAGATAGAAAATAGAATGAACAAAGCAACAAATCTTATCTATCTATATATATATGCATAGATATACGTATATAGATGGATAGAGAAGAAGAAGAAGCAAATCATCATTCACTAGTCATGGTGGTAGTGCTCACAATGTTTGTGTGTTGATTAACGAAATCGATGACGAGCACATACATTTATATGATGAACTTTACTTTCGAGAGTCGTCGTCGTCGTCTGCTGCTTCTACCCCTGCTGAGTATAAATATATTGAGCAAGAAGAACACGAGATAAGATCGATGACGAGTGAAGTCTTTTCTTTTTATTTTTTTGTTGGTATGTATGTATAACAGATATTGCCTGATCGATCATAAATTGATGTCCTTGTTGGTTTGAACAGGTGAGTAAGTTATTGATAAAATTGATTATTTTATATATGTGATCTCCTCCGCCTTCAATTTAAATTCCATTTGATTATATTCTATTAAATTATCTTTTCTTTTTATTTTTTTTCGTTTTGCTTCAATTAATTTATTCTTATACTATCATCTTGATTACAAATGAACAACTCATCTCAATAGTGAACGAGTTCAATTATTTGAATAAAAGATATGAGAGTAT